TGCCTCCCGAGTCCCAGCTGATTAGAAGGAAATGGAGATTTTACAGTACCCTTCTCACCAAGCCACACCCACCAAGCCACGCCCACAGAACCAGTAGTTAAATTTTTTTGAATCCCACCACTGAACTAAATCATATGAAGAACAGCTGCAGGAATTGGGTCTGGCAAGTCTAGAGAAAAGAAGGACTAGGGGCAGTGGTGGGTTTCAAATCCCGTTCCAACCGGTACGGTTGGAATGGGGCCCGTGTTGTGCTCATGGACACGTGCAATGTGCGCATGAATCTTAGCCACTCCGTGACGCTCCATGGAGCGTTGTGCAGGCGCTGTACGCGCCATGCGCCTGCATGGAAGCGCAGACACCTTTAAATACCGCTAAGGAGCTCGGGCGGGCGAGTGGGCCCTCCAGAGCACCATACAGGAACGGTATCTGGCTCCAGTATGCTCGTACCGGGGCGTACGGCCTGCAACTCACCACTGACTAGCGGGGACATGATAACAGTCTTCCAGTATTTGAGGGGCTGCCCAAAAGAAGAGGGGGTCAGCATTTTCCAAAGCAAGACAGGAAATAATGGAGGGACACTAATCAAGGAGAGAAGCAAACTTGAACCGAGGCGAAACTTCTTAACAGTGAAAATAATTGACCCGTGGAACTGCTTGCCACCAGAAGTTGTGGGTGCTCCAACACACTGGAGGTTTTTAAGAAGAGATTGGACAACCATTTGTCCAAAATGGTATAGGGTTTCCTGCCTGGCAGGGGGTTGGACCAGAAGACCTCTGAGGTCCCCTTCCCGTTCTGTTATTCTGCTATCTCAGCATTTTTACATCCTGGTAACACATCGGATTGGAAACAATACCCCAAATATCTCTTTTGTTTGCTTTGAAAGTGTTGATTGAACCATCGTTTGCCTTGTTCCAAAAACAGTAAAAACATCGAACTAGGCGTTGGTGCCTATCCCCGTTTGCAATTCTACATCCCGCCACCGGGGGGAGCCCAAGCAGGAGGATTCTTAAGCTGAATTCTTGGGAGGAAAAAATAAAAAACCACGTTTCCCAGCTATATCGAAGAGATACATCAACTGTAAATCATACCTTGGTGAAAGAGCCCAGCTCCGTATCCATGAATGTTTTGAATTCCTTCTTGGAGAGAGTCTTGCTATCTCCCTCCTTCCCAGCGTAGCGCTGGAAGACGGCCAGCAGCGACTCGATGCAACGCTCGGTTTCGGTGGGGCCCATAGTGCACCTGGACGACTGCAGAAGTGGAAAAAGTTGCGTTTTTAAAAATGGGCCCCCTTCGCTTCTGAGTATTGCAACGATGCGCGCTTCGTGAAAAGGCGCATCTTGTTTCCAACGGGAGCCCGAAGGGAGAAGATAATTGTTCTGACCCAGCCTTAGCAGAAACAAGAAACAGAACTCCTTGTCCCAACCCGCCCCCCCTCTTTATTTAATCTCCTGTGAATTAATGGCATTCACACACAGCGAAAAGTCCAGGCAATAGTCCTTCGAAGAGCTAACCGAAGTAACAGACTTTATCAGCTTTTGGCAATAATCGCCAGGCTGTGAGCTCCCAGCCGAAAAGCTGCAAATTAAGTTCTGGCAAGCAGCGAAGCACAATGAGCCAAATCTTCAGAAATACGAACTGTTGTCTCCTACGATCACCACTATCCCTTTCCTTCTATTTATTCCCCAGCCAGGGAGGGGCCATTCAGTGTTCACATGCGCCTTGCTTCCCAAGTTGACTCCTCATCCACTGTTCTCCTCTCCTAACCACTCTGTGGTTAGGAGAGGAGAACTCAACAGGAACAGGCCCCAGCTGTTCTTCCTCCTCACTCCTCTCAGCCTCCAAAGGCGGCTGCCTCCTCCCCTCTTCCAGTGGCCAAGATTGAGAAATGCCAGTCTACAACATGGGTTAATTTCAGAGCTAATTAAGTTTGGGTTAATTTCAGAGCTAATTAAGTTTAGGTTAATTTCAGAGATAATTAAGTTTAGGTTAACTTCAGAGATAATTAAGTTTAGGTTAACTTCAGAGATAATTAAGTTTAGGTTAATTTCAGAGCTGGTTCAGTTTGCCTGCCCCCTACTGGAGTTACTTTTAAGTTTGAAGAGAGTCTTTCAAATAAATTGCCCCCCCCCCGCCCACCCCCCAGAACCGAGGTGGCGCAGTGGTTAAATGCAGCACTGCAGGCTACTTCAGCAGACTGCAGTTCTGCA